GGGGATCGAATCCCCGCCACTGTGCTCTGCCTAAACAAGTGCTTTAGTTGGCTGAGCTATTTGACCAGCCCTTACAATGACAATTTTAAGCTTGGATTATTAGAGAATAGGTAGCTCCTCTACTCTTCCACAGAGCTGGGGGTAGGACACAGGTCCTTATACATGCTAAGCAAGTATATGCTCTACCCCTGAGCTACATTCTCAGCCACAGCCTTTTGTTTTGTTTTTTGGTGGTAACAGTACTTGAATGTAGGACCTCATGAAAGCCTCTAAACTATGTCTTCAGCCCTGTTTTGTGGGGACATGATCACACTATAAAACTCATGTTGGCTTCAAACTACAGTCCTTTGAGTAGAGTTTGAGCCCTGGATGGCCTCAAACTCATGATCCTCCTATTTGACCTTTTAAGTTTTAGTTTGAGGCAGGGGCTCACTACGTTGCTCTGGGTGAACTCGAACTTGCCATTTTCCTGCCTTAGGTTCCCAAGTAGCTGGAATTATAGACATATATCACCATAGCTGGCCCAAGTATTTTATTTTTAATAGAAATTTGAAGAAAAAATTGGAACATAAAACAGAAAAATACTTGGCCATAAAAAGAGTTAAGATATATTATGTACATGTACCAACTCCCCATGTGGAATGTAGTCATGTATTGCAAACATATACTAATAAACTTTTTTTAAAAAAGAAAAAAATAAAGTTATCTAAAATCTCTCCTCTTAGGAGAAGGTAACTACCACTTAGGAGTAGGTAATTACTATTAATATTTTGATTCATGTCTCTATCCTGGGATATTTACTCTCTTAAATTTTACCATTCAGAAAACAAATAGAGGGCTGAGGAGATAGCTCAGTAAAATAAGCCCTTGCCTGGCAAGTGCAAGGGCCTGAGTTTAGTACCCGATTCTGAAAAAAGAAAGAAAGAAAGAAAGAAAGAAAGAAAGAAAGAAAGAAAGAAAGAAAGAAAAGAAAAGAAAAGAAAAAGCAGTGAAAATTGGAGGCTGGGGAGATAGCTCAGTAGAATAGGGCCTGGGTTCAATCCCCAGTTCCATCAATAGAATAGAATAGAATAGAATAGAATAGAATAGA